TTGGAGATGCATAAAAAGTTAATGAAACCTCACGGCCTCCCTAAAATCATGAACTTGTTGATTTGCTTGCCTTAGGGAGGTGACTGCTGATTTAATTTTAATTGTATTTAGCAATTACTGATAATGTTGTGATCCAATGGAAGCTTTTCTTTTAGAGGAATGTAAAAATCAACTTGCAATTTCTCTCTGAAATACCATCTGTATAAGAAAGGAGGCCCATATGCATGAACCCAGGAGTGTTATCCTACTTCAGGGCAGATTTTTCTTCAATTCTTTACTCAAACCAAATTTCTGGTTCAAGAAGAGTATGGCCAATTTGTGACTGGGATAACTGTAGGCTTCCACATTTCCTGAGCTAACATGATACTATCTTATCTGTGTTCTCTGTACCTTTCTCCCTTTTTTCTCATTGCTCTCTGTCCCTATCACCTTCTCATTGCCTCATTTCTGAAAGCCTTGCTGTTAGGTGACTGCTATAATTCTCCTTGGGGAGTTAGATGATAAAGCCCTAAAAAAACAAGTGGCATGATAGAGCTAAACTATACCAGCCTATGAGAGATAATTGCTAAGTATTTAGGAATTTTTCAAGCTGACTGTTAACCCTTGATAGCTTGAAATCATGGTGGGGGTGTTTGCACCATGGAAATTGGCAAAGTTAACAACCCCCCAGTCTCCATGAGAACTGGTTTACTAGCATGCCACCAGGTATTGCACTTCTCAGGGGATCTGGCATTTTCACTAGGTACTCCTGAAAATCTTAAAGATTCAAACTGAATTTCCATGGCTGGTACTTCTCTAATAGGCGTAAACAATAAAAAAAATCATTACAGGCAATGCCCAAGTGTTACCACATAGGGAAACAGCTGGATCATCTTGCTGAAAGCCAGCTCTACTGACACGTGGCGAGGAGACATGGATGGTGGGAAATTATAAAAGTTCAGAAAAGCATTGCCTTTCTGGGCCATGAAAGATTCCCAAGGACATACATACATAAAACAATCCTACAAAATACGGATTGTTCTGTAACAATGATCCACTGAATCAGACTATTTTTTCAGAGTTATTGATCAAAGTAAAGAATGACGTATAAGAGTAAACTAGGCTCCTTAAAAAGAACAAAGGATTTCATAATCCCATAGAGGATCTGAAGATAACCTAGCCTGTAAATTTACTAACAGACAGCCAGTTAAATAATCCCGTGGTTTCTAAAACTGAAAGTAGAACTTAATATTCTACTGAGATCTTCAAAAATCAAAACTGCTGGACTAGAGATTACAGAAAAGGCCAAGCTTAGTTACCTAAGTACATCAAACTGCATTTATTCATAGTCCTAGAACATTCTCTCTAAAAGGGGGAATAGACTAATGGTGCTTAACATAAATTAATTATCTTTTCCATGTATTTCTTTCTATGCCTCACTCCTTTTTATTTTCAAATGTTGAGTGTGTGCTTACTGTGTAGCAGGCAATGTCTCCACTACAATGATGAAAAAGTTCCAGTCTCACACTGTATTTCAGAAGATTGCATCCATTGTTAAAGAATATAGTTTGAATAGTACTTCCTTAAGTACTATTCAAAGGCAGAGAGATCCTACCAGCAATACACAGAAGATTCACTTTGTGATTTCTTCTAATTAGAAAATAACATTTGAAAGCTATAACCTTTTAAGCCTTTTTGCTCCCACAGAAATAATCATCAAGAGAAGATGATTTGATTTCTGAGGAAAACCGTGGTATAGCTTTAACAGCCTTCTTGGAAGAAATACAAATGTAACTAAGTAAAAGTATGAATAATATACTTTAAATATAGCCAGAAGAATTTTGAATTATAATTAACCTACGTTTCTGAAAATATGAAATCTAAAAGTAATAAATATAGATTCTTAATAATGGGCTCTTAAAACTACATTTATAATAATCCTTTCGGTTTGTTGTTATGGTTGTTATGGGAAAAACACATGTTCCTATCAAAGCATGTAAAATTAATGAACACATTTTTTATACGCAGAGCTCAAAAAATACTCTTCTGTAAGCTGTACTCAAATAAAAATACCAATGAATTCATTAAACAAAAACAAAAACTCAAATCAACAATGGCAAAGCTAATAACTCCGGAAGGCTGAAATGTAGCAAAGACAGAGTAGTGATAAAGCATGTAACTATTAATGTACTGTTTATCTCAATATGGACAGTTCCTTTGCTACGACGCAGAGGAATCAGGAGGCATGGAGATCTTACGTGGTGGATGGCATGGCAGGTTATTTGCCCTGTCCTCACTGCTGACCTAAAGGCGCCTATCTTGCTCAACAGGAACCATACGAGACAAGAGTGTATAAGCCTTTCATGCCAGCAGGCCTGTTAACTTCCATGATGTAAAAAGTAAGCCCATTTGGCCACTAGATGGAGATCAGGTTACTCTGTCAGTGATGGGGAAGCTGCTTGCAGCCAGCAAGTCATAAGTAAGCAGGGTATGGAGAACCTATTCTCTTTTTTCAATACTTCTGTGAAAGGCATTTTCCAAGCTCTGAAGTTAGGAGCAGATCTGTGCTGAATAAAGAGTATATAAATGAAGAATAGCTTGAAAGATCAAACAGAAAGGGAACTGTAAAAGACGAATATTTGCTTGTTATTACTGTTGCCCCTGGAATGACTTCTATTTAGGTTTGGTTGTGTAAACTACTTGTAAGTAATAAGATGAGCTGGTCCAAATAAGAGCAATTAAATAAGCTGTCTCATTATTTACCAAGCAGGGAAGAGGAGAGATATGACAAAAAATTAAAACAATGACAGATTATTAAGACAATTAGTCTTGTCTGTTTAAACATAAGAATACAGACTCATGTCTGCGTATGTATATAAGTATGCATTTTTAATATCAACCAAAATGGATCAACAGAACTTAGGGATCAAAGGAGAATGTTAGATAACATCTATTCAAATTTTCCAAATGAAACTATCATTCAATTCTGAATTATATAACTTTATTACTAAATATGTCTTATTTCTGTAATAGCTGAGCTTTATTTTATTTTTTTTAGAGACAGAGTCTTGTTTTGTTGCCCAGGTTGGGGTGCAGTGGCTCGATCTCAGCTCCTGCAACCTCCGCCTCCTGGGTTCAAGCAATTCTTGTGCGTCAGCCTCCCAAGTAGCTGGGATTACAGGCATGTGCCATCATGCCCGGCTTATAGCTGAACTTTAAACTGGAGACATAAAGTTACACATGTCCTGGAAAATGTTTGGTTTAGGGAAAGTTCAGATATTGCACTGTGTGATGCAGCTAAATATTCTGATTATTCTTGAGATGTTAGACAGTATAATTCTGTTCATTTCTAACTTAATAACTATATATACTCATTCAATAAATATTTATTGTTACATAAAAACAATTTGTGACAGTTTAAAAGAAAAATTCCATTTGTTATCAAATAGTTTTAATTACCAGCACATTTTAGTATACAGGAGTGTGAGCATAAACAAACATATTAATTGCTTATTGCACCAATCATTGTGCTACAAGCTAGGAGTACAAAGATGTATATATAGCCAGAGAACTAACTGGAAGAGAAGGCCTATATGATTAAAAAACAAATACAAATTCATTTTTGTAGCAGTCAAGAACAATTACTAAATGATCAGTAAAAGTCCTTTGTAAAGTTCTATTGTGAAAAATAAACTTAACCTTGACCAGATGGAAAACATGACCTTTGATCTCTACCACGTATAAAATATAGAAATTCAAACACAATAGTATTTACTATTAGGCACCAATGACTGTAATGAGAACAGGAGCTTAATTCGAAAAGAGAAGAAACTAATGTTTAGAATAATAAATGAAACAGGTCATAATTAATTGGTTTTCTAAATATTGTTATGAGTAGTAACCAACATTCAATCTATTGCTGTAATCAGTGCATGGCACTTACTTAATCACATGTTTATTTTAGAGTCACACATTTGTTTTAGCTTAATTAAATTAATACATTTATACCCCTTCAAAAAGATTTGAGTTATACTGTGGTTTGAGGTTTTCAAAATGTTCCTACAAGCTTTTAAGAATCTAAGAGAATTGTTATTCATTCACGAATATATCTATTTCTATTTAAAGAAAATCACAAAAATAATCACATAAAAAAGGAATTGTTAATCAGGTATTAGTGAAATAGTCTGTAGAAATTTCTTATTTTGCTGATAGGCTCTTTGCAGAACAACCTGACTGGTAGGAACCTATTTTTCTTTTTGTTGGATAAGTAAGTAATGTAAACAGGAGAGGTTCTGTTCTGAAGATTAAAATAAATGAATAGTAAATAAATCCTTCTATTATATGCTTTAGTACATATGGGTATATAGCCTTCCCCATTCTTCAAATTAGTTCCAGACAGGAACTAGATAGATTAGATGACAACTGAGTCATTTCTGGAGTTGTCAGGTTTCCTTTCACTTTGGTGGCCTGTTGCCATGTTTTTCTCCAGTGCAGGGTTGGGTCTACTTATTGTTGACTAGTAAATTTGCATTACCTGGAAATAAGGAAGTTGGTAAAAAACATTCTATTGGATGCATATTTTTGCTCACCTTCTCCAGTTTAGAGGTTCTGGTCTTGTAATAACCGGCTGTATTCTAGTTCCTAAATGTTTCTGTTTCCTAGGTAGCATGTAGAGATGCTGACACTGAAGATGGTAAAAGTGAGAACAGATGCAAAGGTGCTGCTGGAAACTGGTTACTGCTTAAGGTTAAAAAAATAAAAGCTGCTGATTGTATTCATATGTTGTGATGTCAGTAACCTGCATGTTTAAGCACTGACAGAAAAAAAGGCACATTTTTACTTTTTCATCATTTAGATGCAGAAATTTCTTTGTCTTTTTATTTTGAATCTAAAAATTCTTTCAGTCCTTTAAGCAACTATTTTTGAGTCACTGGCCCAGAAATTTTCATGACTGTGGCATCTGGAACTAAATTTATACTTGAATGTGCACCTCTAAGAGATAAGGTGAATTCAAATGGTACCTGCATATTTCTGTCATCTTGTCCAATCATGTTTCTCCATTCCATGAGAGATCGCTGCAGACGTTCAAGTCCAGTTTCCCAAAGCCTGATGTGACCTCCCATATCAACAGTAACAACCCCACTTTTGTCCCACTCCGCTAGCAGTGCATCTGTGTCGGAAATGGTAGACAGCCATGTGGTATACGGCGACAGAGATTCTGATCTGGAAAAAGGAATCCAAGTGAAGCTAACAGACCATAAAAATAAAGCAGGAGGGATAAAACTGCACATTGTAATGTTCTTTACTGTTGAAAAAGTATGCTCACACTACTCATTCTTTTACACCTGCTCTTACCTATGTCACTGCACAGGAAGGTTATGAGGATATGCTATGAGAAAAAGTTCTTAAACAAACATGCCCAGGGTTTGTAAGCAAACATGAGGCAGGATAATCATGAATATAAAAAAAAAACCAGAAAGACTATTTTAAGAAAGATTTTTTATAAGTGATCACAGTATATAACCAATTGGTAGGCCAGGAAACAAAGCTGGTTTAAACTGATTAGGTTCTCTAAACTTGCTATAAAGAATTTGCTATGGACTAAATGCTTGTATCCCCCAAATTCGTATGTTGAAGCCCTAACCCCCAATATGATAGTATTAGGAGGTGGGTACTTCAGGAGGTAATTAGGCTTAGATGAAGTAAAGAGGGTAGAGGCCCTAATATAGAATGGGATTAGGGCCCTTATGAGAAGAGACCAGAAAGCTCGCACTTGCGTGTGGTCTCTCTCTGTTTCCTTTCCCCCCACTCATGTTAGGATACAGCAAGAAGTTAGCCCTCTGTAATACAGCCTTCACTAGGAACTGAATTGGCTGGCCCCTTTATTTTGGCTTTCCCAGCCTCCAGACTGAAAATAAATATTTGTCACTTAAGCTACCCACTCTATAGGATTCTGCTGTAACAGCCTGATCTAAGAACTCTAATAATGAGCATATTAAAAGACAAGATATCAACAGAACCATCTTTAAGGAGAAAAATGCACAGTAATTTACTAGTTCTCTGCATTTTCCTGTATTTGTGGACGATACTAACTTCCACTGTCAGGAAGAAAGGAACTCTATACCAGTTCACACCTCACATGCCCGCAGTACTGGACTCACTCCTTAGAGGCCTAATGTCAGTGCTGAAACCAATGTCTTGTTTATGCATTTCGACTGCATTTGTATGTGATATTTTGCCTTTTCTGACTTAGAAAGTTACAAATCTATAATAAGGAATGTATAGGTTTATTATATATTTCACACATATTTCCTTTATTATATATTTCTGACATTTGTATATGTGTGTGTATATATATGTATGTACAGTAATTTCTAGGAATGCAAATTTGTCTATAAGAGTCAACTGCATATCTCCTTTATATGAGTATAGCTCTTATACAAAAGTGGTAACAGATTATAAATTCCAATTATTAGTGATGGCTCGCAAAATGCATCTGATATTTTCTATATGAAATAAATAGTCTAAAGAGATGGCCTGATAAGAAAAACATAATAAGCTATCATTGCAGATTTTGGAAAAACATAAAACCATTATATATTAGGTAAATTCTTATAATATTCTGAAAGATAAATCAAGACTAATTTGACCTTTTTTCAATCTGCCTTAGTTGATACTAAACACAGAGTGACAAGGGCGGCCACTCTTGGACACGGAAGACTCAGAAAATGTTCATATGAGGAGAACAACAGTGGGATGGGACCATATGTTTCCGAGCTACTTTACAGGACTCCCAGAAGGGCTCAAATAAGGTAACATTTGATATAATACATGATAGTCTATCAATAAATACTTGCTGCAGGAAAAAACTTAGTAGTTACAGATGATGGAGTCAGGAGAAATTCAAGAATAATAAAATTTATCTATTTGTAACTATGATGTTTGAAATTCTGCCAAGAACACCCAAGCTGTATGATTCTATTGAGCACTGTACCTACTAGTTGCCACTATTTAACTCTTCACGGCAAAACTTTACATTTACAGGTAATTTCTTTAATTTATTTAAAAAAAGAATTACTGAAGAAATCACACATTTACTACAATTTGCACACTAGGTCTAAACTCTTTTCTTCACTTAAAGAATGTTTTCCTTATAAATAATAACAAAGTTTTAAATGAACACATAGAATTACAGTAGAGTGCAGCCTAAATTTGTAACAGCCAAATATGAAAGCTTGGCAGTACTATTTTACAAATGCAAATAATATAAAACTTTGAAGAAAAATATGTGAGAGCAAAAGTGATATATTCATTTTGGCCCCGAAGTTACATACAGCTTTATTGTATTTTCTGTTATTTGAAATTAGCTATCAAATGAAAAATTCCTGATATCTAGCAGAATGCTAAATCTAAGCAACTAGCAAAAAAACTGAAGTCCAGATGGGTTGTTCCCTTGGATTTTATATATAGGCCAAAAAAAGCAGTAGTTAATCTCAAGAGAAACTCAGGACATACTGACAATGAAACAGACTCTAAATCATATGACACTTGAAATGTGGCAAGTCCAAATGGAGATGTGCTTTAAGTGTAAAATACATACTGAATTTCAGAGACTTAGGGAAAAAAAAGGAATGTAAACTATTTCGTTAACCAACATGGCACAAGTATACATATGTAGCAAACCTGCACGTTGTGCACATGTACCCTACAACTTGAAGTTTAATAATAATAAATAAATTAAAAAAAAAAATTTTTATTGACTACATGTCAAAATAATAATATTTTGGACATATTGGGTTAAATAAAAGATATTATTAAAATTAATTTCACCTTAAAACAATATTTTAATGTGTCTACTAAGAAAGATACAATTACATGTATGGCTTTCATTATATTTCCGTTGGACAGTGCAGCTCTAACTGAATGAATTATTGTGGGCAGCTGGCTCTGGGCTGTGCACACAGCTGCTCTTCCAGATGTTCTTTCCATGGCAGGTATAACATGTGATTCACACAGAAAGTTAAAAGAGAAAAACACTGAAATAAAAAACTTGTGAGAGAAAAATGACTATAAATACTGGAAAAAATTATCAATGCTTTAGATATGTTAAAAATATGTTATTTGCTTTTGTTACTTGAGTTAGTAGTATATTTTAATGAGCATATAATTAAGATGGAATATGCGATTTCCTCAAATGATTAAAAGTCATTTTCCATTAAACCAACACATTAGGATGTTCCAAGAAGTCATATATGTTGGAAGAAGTAAATCTATTTCTTTGAATAATGATTTTGTTTTCATATTTTTTGAATCTGATTAAAGTGTCCTAAGAAATGAAGCTGTGTTTCTGAGTTATTTGTGCTATAATGCCGAGCTATTTTCTTTCAGGGGTTGGAGAAGGGGGAAGAAAGGAAGCCTGGTGACATTTTGGGTAACTGAGAGATTCTGGGTCCCTGGTCTTCCTCTGCAGGCCCTCCAGGCTACTCTGCTAGAGCTTCTAGCCAAGGCTTCAACCACTGTGTTGTGAGGGCTTGGTGGCAGTGTGAGGAGTACATCATACAGTGGGAAGTGATTGTAAATCTAGGTCAAAATAGAGTAGAAAGATTAGAGGAAGAAGGCTTTGGTGCGGAGGGCAAAGAAAGGAAAAAAGAGGAACCTAGGCTAAGTAGACCAAAGCAGATGCAAGCTTAGGTTGGAAAAGGGAAATAAGGCATGGATGCACCCAGAAAGGGACGGGCTCCAGGTGACGACACCTGTGTGCTTCAAGGGAGAGATCAAGCTTTATTGTTTCTGTTTTTATATCCTCAGTTTACCTAGTTTAAATGCTTTGCTTCCACTGTAGGACAATAATGAAGGAGGCGAACAGTAACGAGTCCTATTCTAAAGCTTTGGATCCTTTCGCTATTGTATAACCTTCCTGACTGCAGATGCATAATAACATATATCAAAACAATATTAAAGAAATCTATTTAAATTCTTTTGATATTTTGAACACATTTACTTCAGAAAACAAATACATAAAGTTAATAAGTATAATTTTTGTAATACTAAAAATGCTATTTCAGATACGGAAAAACTTATTAGAACAGATCAAACAACAGAGAACAAAGGCTTGCAGGCTGTTTGACTTACACCTATGTAACACTGGAATATTTTTACAAAATGAAAATAAAAATGCCAGGAAAACATGCAGAAGAACAGCAAGACAGAAACCAACTGTAACTGGAAAAAAAAGAGCTTGCTATTTAAAGAAGCAAAAAGTACACATTTATTCATAGTACTTAGCAAGAAATTACTCATTTTTTAGTGACATACTAAGCTAAGAACAAAGGTGAACTGGATTACCTGGGAATAGGGATATATCGGAGTTTCTTTGATTGAAGATCAGTGACTTCTATATAACCAGATGTTTGTGGAGGAGTAACATCTACAAACAAGTCATGACATGAGCCAAGGATTAAATTACTGCACGATACCAAAATGCTGCTAAAAGTGGAATCGAGTTATCTGTAGCCAAGGGTAGAACTCTGGGATCTACTCGACAAGGTACTGGGTCAACCCTCACGGCTAGACTCTGAGAAATATGCTTCCCCCAGGGAAGCATATTGGGCTGTGATTCTTCACTGTCAGAAAATAACCTAAGTTATTTTCATTGTCTTTGATAGCTTCCCAAGATGAGTCAATGTTTTCACACTTACAGTTTTTTTGAAAATATTTCATCATCTGAACTGTTTTTCCTTCTTAGGAAGCAACAATCATGCAGTAAAATATGGTGGAATCTGCGTACTCTCTAACTAGACCTGGTAGGAAGTTCTGCTCCTGTCCGAGCTGTGTTATGCTGGTCAAGTTACTGACCTCTCTGAGGCCTGCTTTCTTCATTTATAAAATGGGGATAACAACCCCACTGTGAAATGGGGGTAACAACCTCAGAGGACCACAGCATCTGAGCATCATAAGCATTATCTTAGATGAAATCAGTAAATGCAAAGCACCGACAGGGGTTGCCCATCACACAGCATCTGTCATTATTAGGGCCCTGCAAGACAGGGGAAGGTGAGGTGAGGATGGGGCAGTGGGGTGAGGACTCTGGGATTTGGATCATAATCCCCAAAAGACACAATCCTGAATGCCATTATTCTGATGTTGGAATCCCAAAAGATAGATAAAAGTCCCTAAAGTCTAAAATTCTGAAAATCACAATCACAGTATAATTGCATCATGTTAGACAGAGCTACTACTTTGTTACCGTCCTTGTTTGGAAATTAAGTATGGTTTATGGAGGCGCCTATAAGTGCCAAGTTGACAAAGGGTGTATTTGTGGACGTAATTTTAGGTGTCAGTTGGACTGGTTATGGAATACCTAGACACGTGGTAAAGCATTCTTTGGGTTATATCTGTAATCTGGAAAAGAGATTAGTATGTGAGTCTGAGGGAACCAGGTGGTGAAGATCTGCCCTCAATATCAGTGGACATCAACCCATCAGCCAAGAGCCTAGAGGGGACAAATACAGAAGGTGAACTGGTCTCTCTCTGAGAACTGGGACAGTCTTTTCTTCAACTGCCAAACATACTGATATGCATGTATGACATTTCCCTTTTGCCCAATTGCTTTATGAACATGGCTCACATGCTCATAACTGTTATACTCATGTGATGTCATTAGTATGCCTGCGTGTTTACGCTTGCAAAAAGTATATGTTATTATTACCTAGTTTATTGTGCAAAGTGGTTTGTGAAGTGTTCTGCTGTTTTTGTTCGTCTGTTTGTTTTTTGGAGACAGAGTCTCGCTCTTGTTGCCCAGGCTGGAGTGCAGTGGTGCGATCTCAGCTCACTGCAACCTCCTCTTCCCAGGTTCAAGTGATTCTCCTGCCTCAGCCTCCCAGGTAGCTGGGATTACAGGCATCCGCCACCAAGTCCAACTAATTTTTGTATTTTTAGTAGAGACAGGGTTTCACCATGTTGGCAAGGCTAGTCTCGAACTCCTGACCCCAAGTGATCTGCCTGCCTTGGCCTCCCAAAGTGCAGGAATTTCAGGAGTGCGCCACCACCCCTGGCCTGTTCTGCTGTTTTTATGTTTCTCAAATAAATCTCCTTTTAAAAATGTAAATAAATATCTTTTAAGTAATTTTAAAATTATTTTTTCCAGAATTATATTTGAGATTTTCATCCTTTGGGATTGTGTCAGAATTTTAGACTTTAGGAATATTTATCTTTCTTTGGAAATTTCAACATTTGGGGTTATGGCGTGGAGATCGTGTCTTTTGGGATTATGATTAGCTGTCACGATTCCGGATAGTAAAGAATATGGAAAACTGGGGGAAGATAAAGAGATAAGGGGTCCAGAGCCCTCAACTAATTCTATAATTGTTATACTTATGTGATGTCATTTGTATACCTTAGTGCTGGTTTTCCAGCAAACTCCTGGGCTTCATTGATTTCTATTTCACAACCCTGAGTAACCGTCATCCTCAAAACCATTAGCTGCCACCATGGTGTGTCAGAAACACTGCTTAGTCTTTACAGAGAGTGCTTTTGATACTGACAACAACAAAGACTAAGATTCCTGTCTGAGAGATGAGGAAACTGAGGCTTATAGAGGTAATGTAATAATATGATTTATTTGGGGTGATATAGCTGGAGAGTGATGGAGACGGTTTTCAAACCCAGGCCTTTTTAGCACTAAAATCTATGCTCTGGCCACCACTGCACACGAGTGATGGCAATGCCTTTCAAACCCAGGCCTTTTTAGTACTAAAATCTATGCTCTGGCCACCACTCCATACAACTTCTATGTGTGAGTTGGCCCTAGGGAAATAGCTATTTGTAAAATATTCCATTTTATAAAATCTTGGCCACCAAGTTCTCTTAAAAAAACGCCCCTACACAAAACTCATGCTTTTAAAGATTTTTGTCTATCTATTTCTCTATCTATCTGATCTTGGACAACAATTTCTGATTAGAATGATATATTTATCTATCCATCCATCCATCCATCTTTTATTACAATTTCTGGTTGGAATGAAGTATCCAGGATGTCCTGGATAAATTCAAATTCAAATTTATCAAATGTAGTTTACAAAAAACAAGAAACTTGACATTTTTATTCATGCATGCAGTTGAAGGCTTTTAAATAGGCCAGCTGAAAAACTCAACATATCTCTTATTTATTTAACAAATGTGTTTGAGCATATTTTGCGCCAGACATCCTATGAAGCAGTGGGGATACAGAAAAGAGATGTGGTCTCTGACTTTGAGGCGTTCACAGTAAAATGAGGAAAGTTCCTTTTTATGAAACCATTGTGGGCCTCTGGGGACTTGGAAAGGATTCCAGAGTGGGAATCACAGCCCTGAGGCCAGGTATGAGCTGCAGAGGTAGGCAATGGGTTGTCCCAAGAGACAAACAGCTCAGCAGGAAGAAAAAGCAATGTCCAAGGAGAGGAATGGGTAAGAAAATAGGGTTATTGTAATAATTTGACCACCCAGCTGGATTAGCTGTCTTCAAGTGGCCATCTGTACAAAACGAATATGCTTATCGTAAGCCACACACAGTCTGCAATGGAAATTCTGCCTGTGATATAAGGTCAATCTTGGATAGTTTTATATCATATATCATTTCTGACAATTCCTGCTGCTTGAACCTAGCTAAAGTAGGTTGAATTATTTATAGCTCAGGGTTCTTTGCCAAGAGTGACCAGTTATTGAAGCTATAGAGATGAGTGGAGCTGCCTCACTAACTCACTCACTCACATTTTGGCTTGCCACTTAGAGGCACTTTTACAAATAAGGAATAGTATTAAGTTGAGCTACTGCCATCAGCACTTTTAGATTCCCTGTGAAAGCAAAGTAAGCCAACTTATTTTAAAATATCTTTTCTCCCACATCTTTCTTTTCTTTTACTTTGCTAATTAATTCCATGGTGAGAAAATGCAATAATGACTGTGTCTACTATTTCAAGAAGTAGAAAGCAAGAATTTTACTCCTGGTATTAAAAACTATTTTCATATATCAGAGAAGGGTAATTGTGGCTACAAAGCACTTCAGGGAAATAGTAAAGGTGGTGGTAGTGGTGGTAGTAGTAAGCACTTTAAAAATAATAAAAACTGATGTTTACTGATTTGAAAATAAGTCAGCTCAGAAGAAAAGAATATTTACAAAAATATTCTTGAACAGAATACTTGACTGAATTAAGGAAGTGAAAACTGTGGCCAGGTTTCCCTCCAAACTTGGCCAAGTCCTCATCCATCCATTTTAAACATTTTAACACTGGAGTGAGGATGGAGGCTCAGTAAATTTCCATTACATTTATAATCCAGGTGGATTTCAAAGATAGGTATAAATTGTATTTAGGGATTAGTTCACCAACCATTAAAGGGAAGTCATTGCAGCAGTGTTTATCACATAGCTCCCATGAACAGTGAGGACAGTTTACATGCACAGTGCCAAGGTTAGAAGGAGCTATTAAAAACTGTCAGGCAAAACAACCAAGACAATTTTCAGAGGGAAGGTGAAATGCTATTTAAAAACTCACTCCTTGAAATGTAATTTGATGTATACCTATTAATCACTGGGTTTAATACACTTCCGTGTTCACAGATAAAAAGAGTGATGTGTGTCCCCAAACTGTGCTGATACCAAATTTTTGATTTTACCCAAAGTTAAAAAAAAAATACTGATTTCAATCAAGAATCATTATTTTGTGTTTAAAGAGCTCAGACCTGTGGTTTTAAAAAAGCTAACATTTAGCTAGAAGAAAAACAGTTGGAAGAAAGCAATAAACTTCTCCCCATCTGCATTAAATAAAAGCTACCTCATTATTGTGAAAGCCACCAGGAGAGTAGACCTTACAGCTGATTTCTTTATAGAAGGCTGATATACATTAGTTCCAGACTAATTAGATGGTTGGATTTGATTTACTTTACAAAATTATTCTAGCTTGAATTTTCATCAGAGATCTACATGCACATAGAATTAAGTATCAAAAAGGCTTAAAGAAAAAACAGTCCGCTTTACCCCCTACTCCCCCCCACCCCGCCACCCGCCCCACCATTTCCTGCCCCCAGAGACACTTTCAACTTTTTAAGCTATTTCTGTGGTATTCACCTTCATCATTATGGTGCCCTCTTGATATTTTAGCTTCAGGCATTATCTCTTGCCTTCCTCCCAAGCAAGAAGAGAGCTTAACTCTTTTTCATTCCCCAAGCCCCCACTCCCCATTTTCCCATCCCCCCAAACATTCATATAATTTTGCTTGGATTACCATCCAGTGCTTATATTATTATAATTATCTAAATGCTAACCACAGCTTTGCTATGTCTTATATTATCATTACTTTTTCCTGTATAACGTTTTGCTTTTATTGGAGCTAATGAGCATCACGTTTTGTTTAGTTTTATTTAGTACAAATTTATTCCCAAGGTTCCCTAATTGTTAAAATCTCTAAATATGTTCAAATATACTGGGCTTATCAATTTCACTTTCTAAGAGACATCTCTCCTGAAATGTCATCTGTTCTAACGTTAGACCTGTGCTTGGCTGTCACCCTGGGATCTTCCTTCACCATGCTCCTAGGGATTTTCATTCTTTCTCTCTTTTTTTACAGTCCACATTTATAAAATTCTTCCCCCATGCCAGACACTGTCCTAAGCACTTTATGTATGTTTGAAATATTTTAGTAACATTACTTAAACAAAAGAAGGGAAATAAAACTCCTAGCAACGAAGAGAAAAACAGCTAAATAAATAGGCAATTCTTGGAAGAGTAAATGACAACATATAAAAGGATGCTCAAATGTACTAGAAGTCAGAAAAAGGTAATGTGAAACCACAATAAAAAGTTTGACCCTTACAAGAGTAGATTAGGATGGGATGCACCAGGACCCCCTTTATGCTACTGGAACACCTTTGGTAATTCTGCTCCTAAATATGCTCCCTACAGACTCAACATAGACACAAGCACACAGGTGCAAGGCTATTCACAGCACCATTATTTGTCATAGCAAAAACCTGGAAAGAACCTAAATTTGCACTGACAAATAATAGATGAATAAATTGTTGTATGCGAAGCAGTGAAAATAAAAGTAGAATTATCAGTATGGATGATGACAAAGAGTCTCTCCTTGACTGAACTATAGTCAGGCTCTTCTGAATCTTCTTCCCAACTAGTTCCCAACTCTGGGGCCTCTGTGTTCATCTCTGCATTGTCCAACGTTAACAAGAATCCTGCTAAGTCAGTTTAACCAGAATGCCTAACCCTTGATATCTGATTTGGGTTCCCCATTCTCCACCATCCCCCAGATGATGTCAGATCACTCTGGGCTGCTCTCAGCAAGAATCCTGTTAAGTTTCTTCAGCCAGAATGCCCCCTTACCCCAGATGTTTTCTCTCAGTAATTTTCCATCCACTGACCCCCACTCTGCTCCTTCACTTATTTCCACTTTTCCTTGTTATATTCAGAGTTGAGCCCCATCTCTCTCCCTTACTACAAAACTTCTTTGCAGTCATCCCTATACCTATCAAGACGGCCCTGCATAAAGCCTACCTTCCCATTTTGTAACAAATGTCATGAATGCTTTTTTTCTTTAGCATCAAATCTCACAAACATGATGGTGAAAAAAATAGACCAAGTTACATAAGAATAAATACAATACGATACTATTCAATCAAAGATTAAAAACATAAAAAAAGCAGGCTGGGCGTGGAGGCTCATGCCTGTAATCCCAGCACTTTGGGAGGCCGAGGCGGGCGGATCATGAGGTCAGGAGATGGAGACCATCCTGGCTAACACGGTGAAACCCCGTCTCTACTAAAAATACAAAAAATTAGCCAGGCGTGGTGGCGGGTGCCTGTAGTCCCAGCTATATATTATTTTGTGAATGATAAGTACTGAACTCACATTCAGAACAGAGATTACCTCTGGTTTGTCAAAAGTGAATGGGAGGAGAACCCAGGAGTCTCTGACCATACTGGTAATGACTGATAACGATTGGTAATGACTTACCAATATGGGTAGTGGGTGCAAAGATGTTCAATGTATTTTTCTTTACACTTTTGTAGGCCTGAGATATTTTGCGAAAAATTAAAATACACATGGAAACATAAACATGCTCTTCCCGTCCCGAAATAGGAAGTGTTATGAGAGAGTATGACAAGGGCACCTAATTTAGATTGGAACAAGACCTTCTGAGGAAGTGACATTTAAACTAAGACCTGACAGATGAGAACGAATTTGGGGGTTGGGGGAAGGGGTGCAGCAGAAACTTGGGAATAATTTTGTGCATTCAAGTTACCTGAAAGAAGTCGGAGAGATATGTAATGGACAAATCATGCTGGATCTTTTAAGCCAAGATAAAATTTCTAAACTTTATCCTAAGGACAATGTGACCTGAATTGTGTTTTAAAATATTACTTTCTAACTAAAACAATTTTGAGAATGAAGAACAAAGTGGAAGAATCGATACTACCTGAGTCAACCAAGACTCACTATAAAATATAAAGCTATAAAGCAATCAAAAGAGCACGGTATTAGTAAAGGGATAGACACACAGACCAGTGGAACACAATAGAAAATCCAGAAATAGACCCACTCATGTGGGCAGCTGATTTTCAACAGAGGTCTAAAGGCAGTGCAAAAGAGGAAGGACAGGAGTCTTTTCAGCAAATGGTGCTGGTGCTGGAACAATTGAATATCCTTATGCAATTAAAATAAAGAGCCTCAGTCCATACCTTACACCATACAAAAAATTAACTCAAAACGGAACATAAATCTAAATGCAAAATATAGAACTACAAAATTTCTAGAAGAAAACATAGAAGATTTGCCCTTTATCAAAATAAGATAAACTGGAAAGTATATCTCTGACACTGAACTTGTATCTACACTAAAGAACACTCAGAGTTCAGGAGTTTGAGACCACCCTGGGCAACATGGCGAAACTCCATCTCTACAAAAAAATACAAAAATCAGCCAGATGTGGTGGCATATGCCTGTGGTCTCAGTTACTCAGTAGTCTGAGTTGGGTGCTGCTTGAGCCTGGGAGGCAGAGGCTACAGTGAGCTGAAATCGCGTCACCACACTCCAGCTTGGGCAACAGAGCAAGACCTTGTCTCAAAACAAACAAACAAAAGGAATGCTCAAAACTCATTAATAAGAAAATAAATAACCCAATTTAAAAATGGGCAAAAGATCTGAAAGATGTTTTATTAAAGAAGATACACATAAAACAAAATGCTCAACATCATTAGGTGCTAGGGAAAATGCAAATTACAATCATAATGAGAAATCACTACACTCACTAGAATGGTGAGAAACTAACAATACCAAGTGCTGACAGGGATGCAGTGCAACTCAAACCTCCATTCACTGCTGATAGAAATGCAAAATGGTATGTCCACTTTGGGAAATAGTTTGGCAGTTTCATCATATGATGCAAAAATGCCATTCCTAGGCATTTACTCAAAAGAAGCAAAACTTTATGTTCACTTAAAAACCTGCCCACAAATGTTCATAGTGGCCTTACTCTTTATTGCCCAAAACTGGAAACAACCAATAAATATATCACCTTGTGAATGGATCAACAAACTGTGGTACATCCATATAATAGGCAACCATTTGGCAATAAACAAACTAACAAACAAAAACTAATGGTACACACATAACATTAAAAATAAATAAATAATAAATAAATGATTCTCAAATGCACTGTATTAATTGAAAGATGTCAGACTCAAAAGACCACATACTGTATGATTCCATTTATATTATAATATGGTAAAGGCAAATCTATAAGAACAGAAATCAGGTCAGTGATAAGTTGTAGGTAAGTGGAGGCATTGACCACAAAATGGAATGGGGGAAGTTTTTGGGGTGATGAAACTCTTCTATATCAAGTGTGGTAGTGGTTATCCAACTGTGTCTGCCAAACTCACAGAACTATACACTAGAAATGGTGAATTTTACTGTATACAAACTGAGCTTAAGAACCAATGTACACTGTACTTTAAAAACATCACCCTGTCTGATGTGTGGAGAAGGGTAGGAGGGGAAAACAGTGGAAGAGGTAACAATATCAGAAGGTTATGGCAACATTCCAGTGTACGATGGTGGTGCTTTGGATGGGATATTGGTTACAGAACTGGAGACAAGTGGGTGGATACAAGATATATTTGCAAGGCTGTGTATCAGGACATGGAGATTGCTGATGGATGAGATGTGGAGGATGAGGGAGAAGAGGTATCAAGGTGAGCCGAAGATTTCTGGGTGAATGAAGGTGCACTAAACTCTGCTACATAACTTCTTGTAATTCCTGGAATGCTCTGCCAAGTCCTTGCATCTTTCACAAGGAGCACCCCTTTCCTGGACCAAATCCTTCAACTGATTAACTCTCATCTTTCAAGAGTCAACTCATAATCTCCAGTATGGATTGTAAACTTCTCCGCTGTGTTTATATATCACCTTGTGAATATTCCTATCTTATTACACTGTACTACAATTGTCAGTTTATTCATCTGCCTCTTCTACCACAAAAAACATTTTAAGGAAATGGTGATTTATTTTCCATGAGTTTCAGTTTGGAAGAAACTAATTCCAAATATTATCATATAATCAGAACTTTTCAAATCCTGTTACAGATTATTATAATACATTTAGCATTATATTTGTGAAGTCCACACTAATACAATGAATATAGACACAAGATAATATATCACTACCACTGTGATGTAAAAAAAAAAAAAAAAAAGTCAATGAATCAATGATCAAACTTTTTCACAGTTATCTGTTTTGATGAACGCCAGTGTGGTTCAGTAAGAATAGCTCTAAACTTGGGATTAGAAGATTGTGGTGCAAATCTGGGCACTGTTGTCCACTGGTGGCGTGATCCTGGGCCAGTTATTTTGGTTCTGTGTCAGAATATCTTCATGTACGAATTAGAGAGCATGCTAACAATAGGATGGGGTTTTAAGGAGTAAGTGAACTAATATGAGGAGAGGAGATCAGCCCAGGAATTGGATATTTTATACAGTAATAAAAATAAGTTGACTTTGAGAGTGCTGTTAAGTGAATCAGTCTGCATAATAAGTCCCTGACTTTCAGTCTTAGGAGTTTAAGACAAAAGGCAGGCCTCAGTTTCTATGCCTAATACACTAAGACTTTTTACAAGCCTCTGTGAAAACATCTTTTAGGTAAAGTTATTGTATATATTGTAAAATAAATGAAGATGAGTTCTAACAGCAGTGGCCACAACCTCACACTGAAAATGAGTAAGAACTTTCTGAATACAGAGAGGTCTTTTTAGTTACTTCTAAACTGGTCAGAATGATCAAGTTTTTATAAGTATGGAATGATAAAGATAAATTAAATATCCTCTACCAAAAGGGAGCTACTTTAAACCACCTTTGTAAATTAGGATTTGGTGAGTTCCTTCTTACCTTTTGGGTAGATATCTTTTAGAGGGACTTCTCCTGGGGGTAAAATCCTCACAATCTGATTCAAATCTAAAAGAGTCACACAATTGCTTTGTTTTGGAGTCCCACTTTTCTTCTTTCCGCTATAGAACAATGTATCAGTGCCACTTCGTTTATGCAAAGATGATGGTCTCTTCCAAGAATAAACTTCACTGGGTGACTGAAAAAAAGAGATTAAAGTACTGAAGTACCATATACTACATTCACCACAACCTTAACAATGCAGACCTTTAAGCAGATACTAGGGGGGAAACTAATGTTTCACAGGTATAAGAAAATCAAATTCCTGGCTGGGTGCAGTGGCTCATGCCTGTAATCCCAGTACTTTGGGAGGCTAAGGTTGGTGGATCACTTGAGTTCAGGAGTTTGAGACTGGCCTGGGCAATATGGTGAAACCCCATCTCTACAAAAAATACAAAAATCAGCCAGACGTCGTGGCACATGTTTGTATTCCCAGCTACTCAGGAGGCTGAGGAGATCGTGTGTTAAACAAACAAACAAAAATAAATAAAGTCATCTGGACGTGGTACAAGTGGTAGCTGCTTTGTCAATAATCATAATTTTCAGACAAGTGTAAAATATACACGTTAAATTTCTTATCTTGAAATCAATTACAACTAAACAGAAGAAATATAGGAATTAGTTAAAAAATAAACACATATACATAATGAATAGAACATAATTAGCATTTTTAAAGCCCTGGGATGGCTTCAAAAGTGATTGGGCCCCTTCCCGGTCATTCTCTCTCTCTCTCTCCCCCCTAGATTTAACTCTTTTGGAATTTTGTGTTATTTTTCCCTTGTTTTACTTTAGATTTTTACCACATATGTATTTATGCTTCCTAAGATCATAAAGATATTTTCTTATGCTTTTTCTAAAGTTTTAAGGCTTTATCTTTCACATTTAAGTCCTTAGCCTATCAGGAATTAATTTTTGTGAATGGTACGAAGTGGGGATCTGCAGTCATCCTCTCCTCATATGTATAGCTTATTGTCCAAATACCACTAACTTTTGCCCATAGCAACAGTATCATAAAACACAGTTTATATGCATGTATCTGTTTCTGGGCACTGCATTTTGTTCTACTGTGTGTTTTTCTATTCCCAGGCCAACACATGGTCTTAGTTACTGAAGTTTTATAATTAACCTTGAAGTTTATTAGGAAGAGTACTTCTGTCTGGTCCTTCTTCAGAGATGTTCTGGTTATTGTTTGCCCTTGCAATGAGTTGCATTAGCTCTCTGCATCCTTGTCAGTACTTGGTATTGTCAGTGTTTTTTTTTATTTTAGCCATTCTAATGGGTAGGTACTAGTATCTCATAATGGTTTTAATTTGCATTTCTCTAATGACTAATGATGTCCAATAACTTTTCATGTACTTATTTACCATCCCTCTATCCTCTTTGGTTAAGCGTTTGTTCAAGTATTTTGCTCATTTTTTTTTCACATTTATCTTTAATTTTACTTCTATATCTACCTAAATACATTGAAATCTATGAGTTCACAAAAATATATCCAATTTTAATCTAATAACTACATGGTTCATTCTAGTTTTCTTCCTTTCAGTATCTGTAATTCCCCTCTCTAACAGTTAAAAATTTGTTTTCATTATCCTTAATGTATTTTGTTACCCTTCATATATTTACTTTCTTGCTGTATGTGACCCATCTCCCATCTCCACCACTAACCTTATTCCCTGGGCAGATGCTCCACTCTCCCTGCTTGGGTCCTGACAGCCCATATGGGGCCACACTCACACAGGGACACATACTTCACCTTACTTGGGCTCCTACATCCCACTCCAGGCTGCCCCTGCACAGGAATGCCATCTTCATCCTGCTCGGGCTTAATGCCCATCACTAATGGTTACCTCTCCCCATCATAGATGCCCTTACCTTGCTTGGGCTCTGATCTTTGATAACTCACACTGGCCTACTGTTTGTTCATTTGTAAAATTAGGCTATTTGCCTTCTGACTGTTAAGTTTTAAGAAGCTTTATAGACTCTAGATACCAGTTTTTGTTGGAAAGGTGGTTTGCAAATATTTTCTCCCAGTCTGTAGATTGTCTTTTCATTCTCTTAACAGTGTCTTTTAACAGAGCTCAAATTCTAAAGTTTGATGCAGCACAGTTTATCAATTTTCTCTTTATATATTATGTCTAAGACACTATTACCATGTTTAATAGAAGTGGTAACAGTGGGCATCCTTGTTTTATTTCTAATGAGAATAGAAAAGAAATACTTTTAATGTTTCACCATTGAGGATGATATTTGCTATAGATTCTTATAGCTATTTGGTATTAGATTTTAAAAGTTATATTAGTAATAATTTAGATGCCACTGATAACTCCATGAAAAAGTTAATAAGAGGTAGCATACTCATTTGTCAATAGTTTAATAGAGAATCCAAAGAAGTTCACATAAAGCAAGAAGGCAGAGTGGTGTGGTAAAAAGGATGTGTGTTAGAGGGCTGGCTAGTCACACTTGAGCTCAAATCCCATTGCTTAGAGTCTTTGTGGCCTAGGGGATATAAGCTCTCTCTGTTTCTGTTGTTTCATTTGTAAAACCTCATAGAATTGTTGTAAAAATTAACTATCATGTATGAAAGGGCTTAGAGTAGCACACTGCCTGTTGTGTTGTGGCCTAAAAATCTTATTGTCATCTTAAAGGCTGTCTAGCTGACTCTAATCTTCTATTTAACAAATACTCATTAAATACCTCCTATGTGGTAGGTACCACACGAAGAAGCAGGGATATAGCTTTTAATTTAACAAGGTCACTAGTCTTAAAGGCTGTAAGAATTTCTACAAGGTTAATACAAACAGTGCCTTAACTTAGCTTTTATTTTCTTTTTATAATAACATTATACTTCTATATTGATTTCTTCAATCATAAGAAGGTAATTAGAAGACCAATTTTTAAAATAGTTTTACCTCCAGAAAAAGTTCCAAGTTTTTTATAGCAGCAAACATTGTAGAAAGCATATAAAACACATCTCTTTTATATCAAGGCTGCTGTAAACACTGTATTTCAATAACATTTCATTTTGAATTATACGATAGCGATGCTTTTTACTTGATAATTAGGAAAACATATATCAGAGTCCCAAGCCACATATTATCCACTGAGTTTTAGATTTCAAATCTCATATCCTGAAGTACCCAGCATTCATTAACTATATTAAAATTTTGAGGCATACAAAATTAGAGTACTGTCAAGTACAGCCCATATTTTTACCTTTAAATAATTCTATCATCCCATCTAAAAGCCACAAAGGAAATTACAAAAATTAAATGCTTACTCAAAACACAGGGAGCTACATCTAAGGTTATTAGATGGCAACTTGGACTGAAATAAGTTTTATATTAACTTCCCCACATTTCCATCAGAGGAAGATGTTGCCCAGTTTCACCTAAAGTCAATTCAAATAGCTTCTCCTTTATAGGTAACAGTAGATAACAGAAGGGCCCATCTAAGAGAAAAATCAATTGAGACAATTAGCCATTATTCTATAATCTGGATGCTGCAAAGATATGATAAATTGGAGCAAAACTCAATGGAAAATAAATCTATCTTCATGACTGTTAAAAATTTTAATCTACAATAATGACAATTCAACAAATTTAACTTTACACAGGAACAAAAAAACCAAATATCGCATGTTCTCACTTACAAGCGGGAGCGAAACACCGAGGACATATGGACACAAAGAAGGGAACAACAGACACTGACACCTACTTGAGGGTGGAGGGTGGGAGGAGGGTGAGGATCAAAAAACTACCTATCAGGTACTATGCTTATTACCTGGATGACCAAACCATCTGTACGACAAACCCCTGTGACATGCAATTTACTTATATAACAAACCTGCACACGTACACTTGAACATAAAAGTTAATAAATAAATAAACAGAATGTGTAGATGGAAAAATAATTAACTTTAAAAAATTCTAGAAGACATGATAGAAAATTACCATTGGAAGGTGAAGCATTTAAACTGTATTACATGAACTCCCACATACGGAGAATACTCGTTTCCCCCTACCAAATTTTCTTATCATCGCATTACACTTTCAATGTTAATTTTAAAGTGTAATGAAACTATTTAGGTACAACATATTTTCTACTGACTGATTTGGAAGGCAGACTTGATCCAACATGTTTACCAGGAAATCATGTTTTTAATTACCCCTCAAACAGGCTTACAGATTATAGGTCAAATTGAGGGAAAGAAATATTTATCCAATAATTTAAAAAATGGGTGCTTACCATGAGATCTGGAAAACCAACAACTATTGTAGCATAATTGTTCTCATCTGAGAGAATTCTGTTGGGAGAGGCAATCTTTTGTTCCACAGCTGAACTTAGATGTTCAGATGATAGTTGATCACTGGAAATTTTATGAGGTATGCTGAACTCTGTTTCTGAAAAGCATCAGACAAACATTAGACACCATATGCTCCGGAAATGCTCCAGGAATTAATTTCTTGCAAGATTTTATTCTCGACAAGTCAAATGGAAAAGAACAAGTTAAAAAAGAGGAAACACTTTAAATTACATTCATGGGCTTTTGTTTGAAAAAAATGCTGTTTTTATAACCAAGACATCTTCCCAAAGTGATTTCAAGTATTTATAGAATTCAAAATTTTATTAGGAATAAATACTATAATTAATAGTTCCCTGTAGAAAAGATGTGAAAACTGACCCAACCAAGTGTTGGCAATGGTATGTTTTAGATTTTTTTCATAAGTACTATTCATCCCCCAAAACTGTGATAAATTAAGTAGAAATCCCAATAGTCTGTAGAAAGAAAGATGTTATCCTAAATTAGACTTGCAATCTAAATGTAAAAAAATAAAAATACTGATTTCTCAGTTAAAAAAATTCAAGGACAGAGCTTACAACAGTGAACTTCCTTATGACAATTTGAGATAGTAGATTCTTATTTACTGTTTCTGGTGTAGTGACTAAGTTTTTTCTTTTGGTGTAAACTTAACATAGGCTGGTGTTTTGTTCTTAAATGATTCTAGAGCTTAGTATGTGTACAAGCATGCACTCACACAGTCATAAACACAGATGACATAGTATTTACCTTGTGTAACTCCAAACCCCGTGCTGGGCGGCTCCTCTTTCAGCACATACAACTGGCAAACCCCACTACCCTCAGACTCGATGTGTGCAGGCTTAGTTAAAAGATATTTCCTGCAAACAAACAAAACATCTAGCTCAAGTGAAATTTTTCTTTTTCTAATAGTCATAAGGCCAGACTAAGAAAAATTAGATTCTCTTCAGCCTCTTCTTTATAGTTCCAGTATAATTTGAAGTTTTAGAGTTTCATCATGAATTAACAAATAACTTCTCAACACTTGTGTTAAAGAGCAGGGCACAACGTGAAGCAAAAATCCAGTGCTTCCTATAAGAGAAAGGGTTGTGGTGGGGGGAGGAAAGCAACTCGAATGGGGTACACTCTTATTATCATGTAGCCCTCTCTTGATAAAACTCTTTGATCAGCCAGGAAGGGGGAGCATGACTTCTGATTTGTGATCAGCTAAGAGACAGATGCCCTCACAACTGTAATCTCCTTGATCTACTCATTTTTAACATTTCTAAAATATGGATGTATATATAGACAGAAATCCTCTGCAATGAGCTACTTCTGCTTGTCAGCAGAGGGGCAGAAAGAGTCTGCACTTAGCTAGTGGAGCTGTGCATGAGGGAAGGTGCTCAAAGTTGACACTGTCTTTCATCAAGAACTGCACAGTCCGATGGGTCAGAAAACAAAAACATAAACATAACCACATCCAAACCAGAATACACAAGATAAAAAGAGAAAGAAACTTCTAAGGTGTGAACTCTGTGAATTTACAAAAAGGCAACAGCTCTAAGGATGGGGACTGTGGCTCTTTGAAGGGAAAATTTACTTTGAAGTATTTCCAGTTTGGCAAGAATACAGTGAATTCTCAATGAACAAAAAGGAAAAAGCCCAGATAAATATGAATCATATGAAAAAGTCATGATTTTTTAACTGTTAATTTCAATGCCATTTTCTGAGAAGTGACATTTATTTTTTCTCCCCTCCTCACTTCTTATAAGTCTCATATATAGAGATGCTGCCAAACACAGAAATTGCTAAAAGACAGACACAGGAAAGACAGAACAGTAAAGATGATGGAGAATTGATAAATAAGATTGAGCTACAACATACTCCATGATACACTACATAAAGCCACTCACTGATTTGTTTTGCTCTCCACCAGAAGCCATTTGTCCTCTGCTACAAGGAAAACTGTCTTGAGATTGATGGGAAGTGAGATGGTGTGAGTTCGCCCTTCTAGAACATCCAGCACAGTCAGGCTGTTCCTGGAAAAGAAGAAAACTGTATCTGAAAGGAAATGGTGAGGATGATGGTTGAGTAATCTGGCATAATCATTTCATGATACATTATGCAACCCATAAATAGAATGTTTTTAAGACTGAGTAATAATGTAGAAAAATGTTAATTGAAAAAAACAGATATGCAAAATTCTACACTATGTCAGGGTGTGTATAAGTAAAAATAATGGAAAGCAGTGACCATTGCCATGTTAGTAGTGGCTATGTCATGGAATTGTGAGCATTAGCTTTTCTTATGTCTGTTTCTCAGTATTCTGCAATGTGGGCAAAGTTACTTTTATATTAAAACATTCATAATTTGGTTACATTCACTTTATAGTAAACACGTATAATCAAAACAGGAAATAGAATGGGCCAAATAAGAACTTCAGTTTAAGTCTTCTATAATAAAGAGCTCACCCTTTTTCTTTGTAGAATACCAGCCAGTTTTTGTGTGAAAATTCTTTACACATTTTATAAGTTTCCTAAAGACAAAATAAAACAAGATATTCACATTAAATGTGTCAGATACAGTTATGTCTCTCTTTAGCTACTTCCCCTTAAATAAAATAAAGTTCTTCAACTTGTAAAACATATAATTCTCAAACAAGCTATCTATTTATCTACTCTAAGACTCTTATGGTAAAATGGATTAAACTATATATCAAAATTTACTGTGAACTATGTACTAAAACCTCTTCAGAATAAATTTTTAAAAACAACACCAAACATTGTTAAGAAGTAACAGGCTATCTGATGATTAACCATGGAATTTACACCATAAAATAAACACATGGGAAATAATTTCTTTCTTATATTAGGAAACATTTATGACATTTTAAAAAATAACTTTTTTCATAGTCTTTTAAGACCTAAGTGTGCTGACTTGCAGGGCAGAGGGTAAACCTTATTTTAAAACCATTATTTTTTTCTGAATGGCAGAATAAATTCTCTTGTGTTGACCTAAACTATTTACTTACTAGTTTAATTTAGTTAATAAACTAAAACACGTATTTGTCTAGTAGAGGAAATTAGGTAGCATACTCACAGTTTTATATAAATCCAAAACCTAACTACATAACTGGAAAACAGGTTAAATTGACTTCATGATCAGAAATTTGTTAAAAATACCATATTCAAATACTTTTTAATTTTCTCTTGTTAGTCCAGTCCTGGCCAATCTTCATGCAAGTATAATGTCATAAAAAGAAGTTATTGATATTTAATTATACACATATCTATGGTTATATATATCATGTTAAAATCTATATGTGCATAACAGGAAATTCTCTTGTGCATTACAACAAACCACAGGCACTTAAAGGGATGGGCATGCATGCATCTTTCTGGTTAGAAAGCTATAGAAATCCTCGGCAATTTGCTGGACAAATGTGGTGTTTCTTACAGCTTCTTCTTTGTTCCACCAGAAAGGTTTCTTAGATGTAAGTTTCTCTGAAGGGAGGATGAGGCGACGAAGGGCCTGGCCAGTGGTATCTAACAAGAGGATAACATCACTCTGCAAATGATAAAAACAGTGAAAAGTTCAAGAATTTTTTTATTTTTTTTAAAGCGGCAACCTCTTGGCAACCTGACAATGAAGGTTATAGTGATAAATCAAAACAAAGACAATACTGTAATACTTAAGAAATATCACAAAGACATTAAATGATTTTTCTTAATGAAGAATTTAAAATTTTTGGTGGTTTTATGAAGACATTTCTAAATATGTGATGCAGAAGGTATTCTCTTTAAATATTTTTATGTAAAAACTATTCCCTTTTAAATATAAGCTACTTGAACCATGATTCTGTTTTATTATCTAGTAATAACGAAATTACAAAGATTGATGATTTTAAGAAGTTCATCTACCTGTACCAAAATCATACTTAGAGAATGCTCTGTTGAAAGCTCTCTTATATTGTGCATAATTAAATCTTACTTATCTTTTTCACAAATCCAGGTTCAATTTAGAAAACAGGTATAAAATAGATATAAAGATGAGTTGGCAAGAAATATGCAGGACTCCAAGAAACTAGCTAGTAATGAGTGTTCCTTCATTTAGAAATTCACCAAGCTTCAAGGACCTTTATAACTGGTGCTACAATAAAGTACAAACAACAGATTTCTGCAGCATTATTAGTCATAGCTATGCAATGATGTAATCTTTCAGTAATTAGGATTTTTTTTTTTTTTTTTTTTTTTTTTTTTTGAGACGGAGTCTCGCTCTGTCGCCCAGGCTGGAGTGTAGTGGCCGGATCTCGGCTCACTGCAAGCTCCGCCTCCCGGGTTCACGCCATTCTCCTGCCTCAGCCTCCTAAGTAGCTGGGACTACAGGCGCCCGCCACCTCGCCCGGCTAGTTTTTTGTATTTTTTTAGTAGAGACGGGGTTTCACCGGGTTAGCCAGGATGGTATCGATCTCCTGACCTCGTGATCCGCCCGTCTCGGCCTCCCAAAGTGCTGGGATTACAGGCTTGAGCCACCGCGCCCGGCCAGGATTTTTTTTAAGAAAATAAATAAACCTTATGTGTTGAAATATATGAACTGAAATACATGAAATAAAAACTTAACATTGAGAAACCCAGAAAAAATTAAATATTTTAAAGGGATGCAAAGAAGTTGGTTTTTCAGTTAAAATATAAAGAAGTTTGAAGATTAGACTAACAGGTTTGCAAAAAAGTACCTGCAAGTTATTTGTCAGACCTCATTGTTATGCAGGTGTCTTTTCTCTCTTTGTTTTATTTTATTTTATATTTGGGGCTCCTCCAGTTATCCTAACTCTTGTGAACTTTTCATTTCAAGAAGAATTTCTTTTGGAGAAGATAAAGTCACAAAGCACATGAATAATTAATACAAACTTTGAAAAATATAGAAGACAATAAAATGTGAAGTGTTTGTTCATTTATTCCATAATATTTATTGAGGAGCTTATATTTAACATATAAAGAATACAACAATGAATTAATCATGACCCTTGCCTTCTGTCATATAATTTAGTCAGAGAAATAAGAAGAAATGTTAAAAAATGAATGATTCATCTGCAAATCTAGCATCTCAGTGTGGTTTTAATTTTATTTTACAAGCTAATTTTATGGAAGTGCTCAAGAATTAAAATAGTATTTGCACCATATAACTCACTTCACACCATATACTCTGATTTTTAGATGTATTAAAAAATTTTACTGAGCATGTTAACAAAGCTTTAATTTCTTTCATAAACATCACCCTTAGAATGCATCATTCTGTGTAAGATATAATTCTCCATTAAGAATGTGTGTTAGAAATATTCTTTTAAAAATTAACATATAACAACTATCATTCACCACTGCTTGACAGTTTTGAAAATGGTAATGATACCTTAGAGTTTTCCTTAAGAAAAAAATAAAATTAAGTTAAAAATTTACAATCTCCATTCTAGATTAAATATTTTTTGAATAAGTATTTTTTGATGGAAAAAATCTTTCTTGTATAATAAGTATGTACAACATTAAAATGAATTCTTAGCACTTAAGCAATTTGGGATAATATTAGCCTTTGTAAGCAAAAGGAAGTCCTAAAAATATTTCATGCCTAAAAATGAGTAAGCATAAGAATAAGCAGTTGATTAAACAAATATGATCAAGCATAAAAATAAGTTAGTATCGTCTTCCATTTTTCTACCTTTTTAGGGTCTAATACTTATATATTCATAACATGGCATAAGTGAACTGAAAAACTATATCTTTCTAAGTGACAGAAAACATATATTTCCAGCCACTGCTGTATTTAGAATTAGTTTATAAGCAATTGGCAACATGAAGGAGTTCTGTTGCTCCATCTTTTTAGATGTTAATGGTTTCCTTCTGTAAATGACTAATGATAGATTCTGTCTGGGTTTAAAAATAGAATTTTGCGTCACACATGAGTACATGTAACTGTGGCTTTGGCACTCCTTTAAGGGGGGCAGGGAGGAGACGCAAGTGAGCAATTTTATTATGTTTGTATTTGACTGGGAGAAAAGTAACCTCTGGATGACCTCAATGTCCCTAAATCTGAAATTCTAAACTTTGTACAGATGTAATAAATAATCTCATGGGGAGTGGGGGAAGGGGAGGGTCTTTATTTTTAGGCATGGCAAAGTTTCCCTTTCCTTACTTAAGATTTTATTTTAGCAAGGAATTTTTGAACAACTTCTTAAACTAACCAGGGACATGCATCTGTAGCAAAGATTTATATTAAGAAGACAAGGAATAGCCGAATTCATGGAAGTACTTTTCTACAATATTTTTGCTTCATTTTTAGCTAGGGTAGAATGAAGAAGAAGGAATTGATGGCAGTCTACTTATTTTTCATTCTACTAGAATTATTTATCAGTTGTTAAATTTCACAGCTCTGTGCTGTTCACATGGAATTGTACAGGTCTGACATCTTGACAGGGGTATATTATAAAATAGTTAAGATACCCTCTCTGGGAAAAGAGAAGGCAGTTTAGAGGACAGGTAGAGTGGAAGTATACAGACAAGGTGTGCAGGTCTGCTCAGGGTTCCGAAGCAGTTTTCTGGAAAACTTGAAACTGTGGCCAAAGGGATAAGCAAGGCAGCATATAAGGAGGCAAGGTGGGCTATGGAAGTCAAGCACAGCTTCACAATGAAAATCAGATTTTCTTCCATGAAAGTAATTGAAATTAAACAGAGTATTAATTAGCAATGTTACCAAATAATTGGATCTTTTGAGAAAATAAAACTCTTGCTGAGAACCTACAAATCTGGCACTTTTATTAAAGAATTTGTGTATGTAAATTTGACAGTGAATTTGACAGTTGAAAATGTGGCAGGACTGTTTAAATAAATATTCCAAATGTAGTCTCATCCAAATTTGACTGACTTACTAAATTACAGACCACCAAGATATCATGTACCTTTTATGACAGATAGTTTTGGCTACAGAGTTAAATTCAATGGCATCGATACTTCATTGAAAATCTATAAAGTAGGCCGGGCGCGGTGGCTCAAGCCTGTAATCCTAGCACTTTGGGAGGCCGAGACGGGCGGATCACGAGGTCAGGAGATCGAGACCATCCTGGCTAACACAGTGAAACCCCGTCTCTACTAAAAAATACAAAAAACTAGCCGGGCGCGGTGGCGGGCGCCTGTAGTCCCAGCTACTCGGGAGGCTGAGGCAGGAGAATGGCGTAAACCCGGGAGGCGGAGCTTGCAGTGAGCTGAGATCGGCCACTGCACTCCAGCCTGGGCGACAGAGCGAGACTCCGTCTCAAAAAAGAAAAAAAAAAAAAAAAAAAAAGAAAATCTATAAAGTAAAACCCTCATTCCGATTTTCAGGACATAAACTTTCATAAACAATATCTGGATATTTATAAATTCTGCTCCTAGGAGAAAGTAAAAGTAAAAATAAAAAAGTAAAAACAAAATCAGAAAAATACTTATAACTCAGAATTTATGATAATTTCTGAAGGCACGGACTAAAGTTAACGTTGACTTATTTCCTCAATGAACTACTGACATATTATGCAATACTTTTCTCTTGATTAGTGAAAGTATTATTTTTGGTAGCACTTTGCTCTTTAAATATTCATAAGTAACAACACTGCATTTAAAAAATATTTTCCTATTATGAGTACTTGTTAAGTTTTCAAACTAATCTTTTTCCCCAAATCTGTAGTGAGGGAGAGAGTAGGTGATGTTTAATTCTGGTAGGGTCAAACCAATCTGCTGTGAATTTCAGTTCTACTATGTCCCTGCCAGACAAGTTATTTGAAGTCTGAGCCTCAGTCCTCTCATATGTAAATGTGGCTAAGAGCTACCCTCACTGGGCAGTTGGAAGAATAACATGAGTAAGTAAGCAATCTCTTACGTGTTATGTTGGCAGCATTTAACAATTGATCCTTATCTTTGAGACATTCATCACTTGCATTCCTGGATAACACACTCCTCAGTTTATCCATCTACTCTACTGGTCACTCATTTTCAAACTCCATCATTGATTCTTCCTCATCTTCCTGATTTCTTAAAATTTTACTGCCCCAAGTCTTAGTGTTTGAACTTCTGTTCTCTACATTCAGTTCCTTGGTGAGTTCTTTCAGTCTCATGGCTTTAAAGAACATTTATTTGTTAATGAATCCCAAGCTTGTATATCCTGGTAGAAGCTCTCCATTGAACTCCAGTCTTATCATCTATGTGGATATTTAATGGACATCTCAAACTGAATCTAATATCATCTGAGCTTCCCTCCCAAACTGATTCCTTCCCCATCTTAGTCAATGGTAACTTCAAGTTGCTTAGTCCCTAAATCTTACGGTTGTCCGTTACACTCTCTCTGACCCCATATATTGGAATTGTTAGGAAATCCTGTTGGTTCTACCTTCAAAATATTTCTAGAATCTGTCATTGCTTATGAGCCCCATCCTCCTCCAAACCACCATATCTCTTAACTACTCTCCCTCATTGTGCCTTAGCACCTACAGACTATTCACACAGAGCACCCAGAGAAATCCTTTAATCATGCTAGCTCCCTGTTCAAAACCTCCTCCTGTCTTCCCCTTTTACTCATAGTCAGGATCCAGAAACTTCAACGGCCTACAAGACTCTACACCAGTGGTGCCCAACCTTTTTGGCACCAGGGAGCAGTTTCGTGGAAAACTGTCCGATGACTGGAGAGGTGGGGTGGGGACTGTGTGGGGGTGTGGGGTGGTTACAGGATGAAATTGTTCTATCTAAGATCATCAGGCATTAGGTTCTTCAAGGAGCGCACAACCTAGATATCTTGCATGCGCAGTTCACAATAGGGCTCATGGGCCTATGAAAATGCAATGCTGTGGCTGATCTGACAGGAGGTGGAGCTCAGGCAGCAATGCTTCCTTGCCCACCACTTACCTCCTGCTGTGCAGCCCAGTTCCTAACAGGCCAGGAGCCAATACTGGTCTGTGGCTTGGGCGTTAGGGACCCCTACTCTACACAGCCTGCTTCTCACCACGCCCTTCACTTTGCCCCTACTCCAATCCACAGTGTAACCTCTTTATCTCACCTCCTCCTGCTTCCCTCTTTTTTTTTTTTTTGAGACAGAGTCTTGCTCTGTCGCCCAGGCTGGAGTGCGGTGGTGCAATCTCGGCTCACTGCAAGCTCCACCTCCCGGGTTCATGCCATTCTCCTGCCTCAGCCTCCCGAGTAGCTG